TAAGTTTCTGTAATCAGGTGGCCACATTTTTGTTAACTGATCAATATATAACTTTCTTTTATTTGTGCTTCTGTTTAAAGATACCTTATTTAATACACACTGTTGATTCATTAACATTGAACTCATGGACTATAACTCATTCCTAAACAGTATTTATAAGGCATATCGCTAGACAGCACCTCAGCCCTACACTTAGGGGCCTTTTTAAACAAAAGTCACCAACCAAAAACCAAAATACAAAAAGCTTAGCATCGAAAGGATACTTGTTCATATTCTAGTTGTGAGAGTTGAAACCAGGTGGCAGAATGTCATCAGCTTCAGCTGGGAACATGCCTGCTGGTGACTTAGCTTTTGCTGCTCTGGCACGCTTGCGAATGAGCATGAAAGCACAGAATATCGATACTAGGATTAGGACTAAATCTCAGTGATAGGCAAATTTGCAAATATGGAATCCAGGAATAATGAGGACTGACTGTACACATGTATCCACATCCACACATAGGTTTATGATTTCTCTTACATATATATTGACCTAAAAATGTGAAATTTGCAGGTTAAAAGATAATTATATGAAAACCATCCATTTAAAAAAATTGTTTTCTAGGCACCAGTCTTTAGCATGGGCATACTAAGCTATATAAATACTAAGTTTCCAGCTGTTACTGCATTATGAGAAGATGGCTAGAGAGATTTTCACATAATCTGAAGGGTCAGTCTGGGATAGTGATACAATATAGGCTGAATTTTACATGAACTTACATGAATTCTGTTTGTGGGACACTGGGCGCCACTCAAAGACAGGCAGTAATCCTGCAGAGAAGTTCTAACAGGTAGAGAGAGGGACCAGCTGACAGCCGATTGCAAGAAACCTGCCATATACACCAAGATACTGTGGGCAGATAAAGTTTCAAATATGAGACCCAGACTCAAAGTCACAAGGGCAAAACGACTGCAATTTCAGGAGTCGATCTGGATCAACTTTTTTCTTTCATATAGAAACTCAAGTTTCTGGTGAATAGGATTTTAAGTAGGTAATCTTCTGAAAAGTCACTAGTAAAAAAAAACTCCCATTAAAAAAATCCACTTAGTTGAAACAAACCATGTCCAACTTCAGTGTTAAGTCCTTGTATTTAACAGTAGCTGAAGAACAGCTTTATAGATCTCCACAATTATGTGGGAGAGATACTAGCACCCTTATTAGTGCCTTCATACAGTTTGTACTTAAACCTGAAAAACAAAAACAAAAAAGGAATTCCAAACAGTGGGGATGTCAAGAATTGCTATTACTACCGGACAAAGGTATTCAAGTTCTAAAAAGGAAACACCGTTTCCCCTTTCTGATCATAGTTTGTTCTTTCCTCTTATATCCAGAGATTAACTTGCTCTAAAATTTTATTGAGATTGGTGAGGTTCAACTATGCTTAATATTCTAGGAACCTGACTAATGACTCTTTAAGAATAATCTTAGAGTTGTATTGCAGTTATAAAGGCAACTATGTTTTAAACAGCACAAAACAGTCACCTAACATGGGGGAGGTGATCTACTTCAACAGTCACTGATAAAAATCCTTTCAGAATATTTTGGGATTGGCTTTTAATAAAGCAACATAATTTTGAGTATCAGTGGTAGCAGTTCTCACCTTTGAAAAGTATATCTGATTTTATTATTAGTATTAGTGTAAGCACCAAAAGTCATCCTCAGGTAGGTATGGTATGGAGATGATGAATAGATGGGTAGTATGCTTTTTCAGAGGAGATGACTATTTTTTCTCATTTAGCTTCTAAACTGGTTCTGAAGATAATTCTGAGAGCTCTAAATGTTTTGAGCAATGTCAGCACTGCTGACAAAAATAAACTCAATTTAGCCCACAGAAATTTGCAGACATAACTAACCTTATGCCAAACAGGTTCAAATATATGTAAATATAACAAACAGCCGTGACTTAAATTTTGTCTACTTCCTTCTAGATGTGGCTAAAGCCCTGTAAGAGAACAGATATACCAGAACGACCAAGTTACACCGCCCCATTGTATAAGACAAGTGAGCGGAGAGGAACACTGTCAACCACTGGCCATTCTACGAATTTTGTGATTGCCATGATTCTTCCCTCTGACCAGCCCAAGGAACACTGGATTGGACGGGGGGTAGCACTGCTGTGTCAACTTAATTCATAATTAGAAGGTGTCATTTCCCTGTTTTCGTATTCTTTGTTAGATGAGTCAGTAGAAAATATATTTTACTTTTTAAAGAAGTCATTTGGTTTAAATCAATTTGACTAAAGTTATACTTAGTATTTAAAATGACTCATACTTCAAAGTTAGGAACTATTCTAACAAAGATTAAATAAGACACACTGGTATATTTGCTCTTTTTGAATAACTTTATTTTGGGAGTGTTCCATAAGCATTAGGAACATACATAAAATGACACACCACTGTTGACAATGAAAAAACAGCATTTGATCATTTCCAGCTTTATAAATTTTTAAAAAATGATTCAGTTACAACAACAAAAAAAAGTTTAGATATTTTAGCAAGTATCACCTTGCAGGACCATAATCACATTTAAGCCACTGACTTACTGTTAATGGAAAAAATTCACACTGCATCTAGTTACTATAGTATTTCTAAGCATAATCACAGCTGATTGAATGCAATGTGATATACACCAAAATTCATATGAATGTCACACAGTGACAGCATTGTCCAAGTAACATTAATGACCTCCAACAAACACATGTTAAATTAGACTGGTCAAGCTAAATGGAATGTTGGAGCCAAACAGAAATGTAGTGGAATTCAGATTGTCTAGTAAGACTTGAAATTATACATTAGGATGATGTAAAAACTAAATACTGGTGGAACCCCAAGAAAAATACTAGCAGCAACTGTTACAGCCCTCTTAAAAGTTAAAAAAAAAAATCTAGCAAATAAAGATAACTACCACTTTTGAGAGAATATAAAACTATATACTTCAGCATAACCTATTTGCTTTAAATCAGGCATTTATTTTTAAGACTCGGAGTATATTCCAGCTGTTGCTTTTCATAAAAGTTTTAAAAGTAAGCAGATTTAATGCTGGAATGCAGAATCCTCCTTGGACATAAAGACCCCAAAATGAATTATAAATATACCTTGGTTCAGAAAGCAAGATATCTGAGTCACTTGAAGTTGGCAGTACTAAATAAAATACCAGCACCTTTTAGCCAGGTTGCTTGAAGGGTCAAGCAATGAGATGAGGACTGTCCCAATTCAGTGCCCAATGCTGAAAGTAATCTATGTATAAAACTCCTACTTGTTACAGGAAGCCATGAAGAAAGCAAGAAATAATTTTTCAAATTCAAGCATAAATGAAGGAACTAACACCTAATGAACCCCTTGCTTACACCACACAGGAGAAACACTGGCAATACTCTTAATACCTGGATGCATGTGCTGCTCTCGGTTCTGTTTTAAAGTTCATGGAGTAAGAGAAAAGGAACTGGGGAAAGGAGGAGGACTAACTGAGAACATTTTAAATGGAATGGAACGAGTTTGGCTCTTAAGTTTCTGAACAATAAGATTTTTAAAGCCGCTACACAGGTAGCCAAGCAGATCAAAATAAAGCTGCCCGCAGGCAGTTCACATACAGTTTGCCTGGCGTAAGTGCAGAGCATGCGGCACAAGAGGTAAACAGAAAGCGACATGCATGGTTAGTACTACAACTTATTAGGCCAAAATTCAGGGTAAATGTGGCTTGCACTTCTCACAAATCGTTCACCATTTATGGCAGGAGAACAGGGCACCTAAAAAAGAGACTAATCCCTACCAGGCACGAAAAGCACATGTTGGCACAAAATAAGTGATTTCAGCCGAGTTACGTAACTGTGTCTTCCAAGTCACCGGGTACCATGACAGCCAGGGCATCAGTGGAGAGCACCCTCAGAACCGTTCCTACACTCCGCGTGCAGACTGTGGCCGCGGTGAACCGCTGCCTCACAGCCTCACTGCCTCACTGCCAGCCGCAGCGCGTGCTCTAGGTTCCAGGGCCAAACTGGCAGAGCACTGTGTACAGTTAAAACGTAAACTTCCCAAGTAACTCATTATTTCTGTTCAAGTAGGGTGTCTGAATATTTAGACCATGTTTGGGTTCTTCATTTTGCTGATATTTTCTAAAGGGTTACAATTTTAAGGAAAAAAAAAATTTTTTTTTTTAACCACATGCTCCAAACCCCTTACCCTCACCAAAAAACCTGAAACAAAAATAAAAGTTAAAAAAAAAAAAAAAGCCCAAACACCAAGTATAATATTAATACAAAGAACCATTATGAATCTTTCATTAAACTGAAGCTCACACAAATGTACAGTCACAAATTTCAGTAGTTTAGGCTGCAAGTTTAAACCCTATGCAAATATATACAAAAATAGTAACTCTAGATTCAAAGAATAAGGGCCTTTTTCCCAATGCTAAATCCATACTCTAATGCAGCCTGAGCTTTCCTCTAGTGCTACAGTCCTATTTTATGTAGCTTCAAAGCTGTATCATGTTGATCCCTATTTCCATATGTAGCTGAATTAAGGGACACTACAATTCACTTTTAGCACAAAGAAAAGTCTGCCCGAAGTCCATTTGAAATATTTTTAAAAGTTTAAGTGATTTTTTTTCTTTTTGGTTCAATTTCTATTTCTGCATAGCCACAGAAGTTTCTACTAATAGAGACTACTTTAGTGTTTTTTATATGATTATTTCTTTATAAAAAGTCTTAATCAAACCTATATCAACACTGGTTCATGGAGTCCCATTTCCTCCTTTCTTTATCACAAGTTTTATATTTGTAAAAGACCCCTTCATGCAGGGAAAACAGCACTGAGCACTGGTCTTTGTGGTTAGGCTCAAATCTATGAACTTGTAAGTAGTGCAAGCCACTGGCTTTTCTTTGAGCGACGTGCTTACAGTACAAGGAACAGATGCAAAGCTGCATGGTGACATTCTCAGCATCAGCAGTGACTGCTGGGAGTGGTCAAAACTGGAGGTCGAACACAATTTTGTCTTCGTAGAGGGCGATTACCAGCATGATGGCAAATCCGAACAGCAGCCCCAAGTTCTGCAGGATGAACTGTCCCACGGGGCAGAAGCCGTGCTCCTCGTTGTCGCCGTCGCCGTGCAGCATTTCTGGAAGCTGAAACATATTGTTTAAATGTCTTAAAACAATCTTGTATAATCTCATTTTTTAAAACATTTTCCTACTTAAGAAAGTTAGTGACTAAAGCACAACTACTAATAATTTTGAACATGGTGCTAACCATATTTTAGTCAAACACTTAGAAGTTTTATGCTCTAGCTATGTACTAAATAAACACTAAATCTGTGCCCTCCTCACCTCCCAACAGAACACATCATTTATGTATTAGTTACTTTTTTAAAGTTTTGCTGTCTACCAACATTTCTGCTAAAGTATAAAACTTTAGCAGTTTTGCCAATGAAACTCAGAAAAGAATACCACAATTCCCATACTTACTGATATATCTTAAGCTCACTGAGAAAGTAAGATTCCTTTGGGAGATATTTCATTCAAAATTATCATTTATTCACCCTTTTCCATCTAAATTCTCATTCCCAACTGTACATTTCATCAAGGATACACAGTAACAAGACAATTGCAAAACTGATACCTCTATGCTCTTAAAAGCCATTATTTTTTTTCCAATAATAGACAGAAATAGTGTCTCAAGGCTGTGCAGCAGACCTACTACCAAGTCATGCATGCTATCTTCACAATGTATTCTATTCTCTTAACAGTGATAACATTTTTAAAATTTGAAAGTCTCCAATATCTTTCTTTAAAGGCACAGTGCACTAAAAAGTATAGTTCAGCTTCTAAAGCACAAGCATATACCGCATTTAAAAATAATCCATAGAAAAGTAAAAAACTAAAATCCTTAATGTGTCTAAGTAAAAAGGATTTGCTGAAGAATGAATGTATGTGATTATAAGCATACATTCTTCCCACCCAAACATAACCAAAATTAAAAAAGAACTATTTCCAATTTTCATATTCATTTTTCTGTTTATTGTTTGTTTTTCAACTTTGCAGTGAATATCTACAGGACACTGATATGCTACTCTATTTGACACTAAGCTTTTACTCCAAACAGTATCTTGGTACTTTGGTGTTTAGGGAGGAGAAATGCAGTGTTAAGTATATAATGTCTACAAGGAAGAAATATCATTATTCATTATTAAATAATGAGTACAATTAACCCAATTACCATGCTCTGACAGTGCTACAGTATATTTAATAATCTCCTGAGAGTCCTATTTAAGAACTACGTCATGCTGGCCATCTATTCTGTTCATAGAAGTCTGTGCAGTAGTGTATGCTAATGGAGGTTACTGTTCTTACCCAACAGAATTTAGTAGAGACCATTATAAATGCCAAGGTGAATAACTGTGACAGAGACTACTATATGGCCCACAAAGTTTAAATATTTATTATTGTTTCTTTTACAGAAAGTTTGCTAACCCCTGGATTAAGACTAAAACTGGCAGGTTCCAACCTATGATTTTAGAAAGAAGACTACTTTTATTGTTACAAAAATTTTTTCCCCCAAGATTTTATGATTACAAAAACTTTTAACTTTCCTTAGTATTTAAGCATAAACAATGTACATCTCACAGAAATATTCCCTCTAGACATGTGCACATACCAACAAGAGGCACCACAGTGCCTTCCTGGCACTCAATTCTGTCCTGAGTGCTGACACCAATACTGTCTGTCATAACCACAGTTAAGAGCCAGCCAGTACCTACCTGTATGACCACAGGTGTTGACATGCAACAGTGCTTGTTGATAAACAGGTGCTATCCAAAGCTTCCAAAAAACCAGAAACTTCCAACTTGGTATCTATCTGAAACTAAAACTTCTGGTACTGATGCTATCTTACTTAATGACTATATAAGTCAATATAAACTTCCTCCTTTTAGCTAAAGTAGTCTTTATAAAACAAAAATGAGATAATGTCTGTCATTGTTGCTTAAACCTTTTAATGGTCTCCCAAAATTCCTAAGATAGATTAATCTTTTTAGCACAGCAAATTGCGTGACTCATGATCTGATCACCATCTACCTAATTAATGACACTGTAGATATGTTACCTAATGTATTTCCTAAATGAGTCCTAAAATATATGTGGATAGTTTGTCCCTGTCTTTTAGAACACTTAGGTGTTTTCAATTGAGATATTATAACTACTCTGCAAAAAGCATTTTCATATGATTTCATTTTTATTTGTTGCTTTATTAGCAACAATCATTTTGTTTCCTGGGAGATAACTCCCAGGAGTAGACTGACTGGTAAAAAAAGGAATGATGTTATTTCTTATATGCCCTTTTCTCTTGATTCTGATAAACTCTTCTATCTTCTTTAATACTTAGCTCAAATTTCCTATTCCAGGAAAACTTGCCTAATTTTATTTCCCAATTTTTTAGCTAGCCTCTAATTCCACAAACATGGTACATCACTCTATCATAACATGTATCCAAAGGATTGTAATTGATGGCTACTTTTCTTCTTCATTAGACTATTAATTCCTTACTATAATGACACTCTTGTTCTTTTTACAAGTTTAGCCCTCTAGTATAAGAATTAGCTCATTCACTCTTCATTCAATTAATTATGAACTACTTCTCCAGCAGTAATTGAAATATTATAAAAATGCCTGCCTTCCAAGAACTGATTGCCTAATGGGGCACAAAGTGAACTCAATAAATAAATAAAATGTTTAGTATGTTATTAGTAAATTAAGTACAAGTGCAAATGAGGAAAAGTAAAGTAGGAATACAAGATGTGAAATGTTGGTGTGGAGACTGAAGTTTTAGACAGGGTGCCTCAAGAAGTAAGGGAGCTGGCCGGGAGAATGTCTTAGGAAAATATTCCACAGGAGTGATCAGCGAGAGCCAGGACGCTGAGGCAGTGTGCCTCCTGGGGGAGCAGAAGTGAGGTAAGGCCAGGAAAATCAGGGATGGAACGGGAGAAGAAACAGGAGGATAAAAAACCTTGAAGAGCAAAACAAGAACTCTGTGCTTCTGCTTTAATGAGACAGACAACCACTGAAGGGTTCAAAGCTCACAAGTGATATGATCTAATCTAATCTTACAAGGATCACTTGAAAAAAAAAATCACCCAAGGTGTGGTGATAGATAGAGTGTGGAGGCTAGGACAAGGGCAAAAAAGCAGGGAGAACAGTTAGAGAGAGATGATGGTGCCTGGAATGAGGGTGGAGTGTAGGTGACGAGGAGATGGAGCCCCAGTAGATGTGGGAGGGGCAGAAAGAAGAGAGTCAAAGAGTGACGCTCAAGGTTTTGATCTGAGAAAGAATAAAGAAGAAGAATAACGTTATTGTTAATAGATGGAGGATTAAAAAAAAACAGATGGAGGATTCTAAAGGAAATGCTGGTGTAAGGAGTAGGATTGGCAAATATCAAGAGCTGGTTTCTGAATATTATTAAGTTTATAACACCTTTTAGATATTCAGGTAAGTTGGTAGATAATGCTAATCTGGAATTAAGGAAATGGCCTGGGCTAAAGATGTAAAGAAAGGGAAAATGTCAGTCACTCAGTCATGTCCAACTCTTTGTGATCCCATGAACTGTAGCCCACCAGACTTCTCTGTCCATGGCATTCTCCAGGCCAGAATACTGGAGTGGGTAGCATTCCCTTCCCCAGGGGATCTTCCCCACCCAGGGATCGAAGCTGGGTCTCCTGCGCTGCAGGCGATTCTTGCCTGTCTGAGCCTCCAGGGAAGCACACAGGTGACGTGACGCACCCTCACCGTGTGCGCCCGGCCGCTCAGGCGCGCCTGGCTCTGCGGCCTGACGGGCCACCAGGCTCCTCGGGCCACAGGGCTTTCCAGGCAGGGATACTGGGGAGGGCTGCACAGTCAGGAATTATCGGCCAAGAAATACTTAAAGCCATGAGACCAGGCAAGATTACTGAGAGGACTTTCATCAACATTCAGAGGTAAGGGAAGAGAAGAAAATCCAGCAAGAGACTAAGAAAAGGCCAGAAACGTGGGAATTCAGGAAATGGTGGTGGTACAGAAGCCAACGGCCAAGGAAATCTTCCAAAGAGAAGAGAATGATCAAGCCAAATGCTGCTGTTAGGAAAAGTGAAATGCAGACAAGACAAACAGGGTCAGTGACCAGTGGATTTAGCAATGTTGTGGTGAATGGCAGATCTGACAAAGTAACCTGGGAGAGCAGTCGGGAGGAAACCTAATGAGCCAGACTCATGAAGGAAGAGAATTAAAAAACAAGAATGGGTAATTGCTATAACTGGGAAGAAGCATAATAAATAGGGCAGTAGCTAAAACTGAAACTGGAATTTAAAAAGATCCTCTCCCACCCTACCTTTTTAAGATAGGAAAAAGGGAGAAATGTAAGGGAGCTAGGCGAGAGAGGGGATAGATTAGATCTAGAGAGCAGTGTGAAGGAGCTGGATCTTGCTAGGAACACAGACGTTTCTCCCCAGGCACAGGGACAAAGGTAAACAGGCGCCGACCCAGGGAGACGAGCAGGAGCAGTGACAGGAACTAGTGGGGAGTTATCCCGGTGGCTTCATTGTTCTCCATGGGCCAGGAGGTGAGGTCATCAGCTACACACAGGACAGCAAGTGAGGCTGACGGAGAGGGGGTAAATTGCTGCTTCTGAATATAAAGGAAAAAGTATTCTTCCTGACTGTCCAAGCTTGCTATAATAAATATTCTATAATTAAAAATTTAGGTTATAAACTGAAACGAGACTATTTAACAGAGTCTACTAGGAAGAAAAGTGAACAGTTATCTAGTTAAAAACAGAAAGTAACCAAATTATTAGTTCTGCAAACACACTGCCTAACATATTTAGGATACAGAAGTAAAATTAAAATTTAACTAATTAGTGTTACAGATTTATTAACTTTAAACTGAAGCTAGAAATAAGGGCAATAACATAAACCCCTTGGAATATAAACCATTTTCTGCAGAAGGCTGGAGAAATATAGTACTTCCTTTCTATTTGCTATTAAGCAAGCTCAAAGAATTATTTTGTTAACCATAAAAAAACACTTCCACCCCAATATTACAAAATCTTCAAAGTAGTATAGTAATTTTGTATACCTTTAAATATTATTGATGGTTACTTTGAGTAGTAATATTATTTGATCAAAAATTTTCAAGATAACTGGTTGCCAAAGAAGGAATCCTCCTACTTAAATGTCTTTTCTTAATAGATTATTTAAGATATCACATGTCTTTAAAATGGGTTGTGCTTATTAGTCTTTCAAAACTATATCCAAAGAGTTCTTCTATTTTTGGAAGTTCATTCTATTTACAGGTTTAGTATAAGAACAATGGAAGTTCATTCTATTTACAGGTTTAGTATAAGAACAAAAATATAAAATAAGCCGTCTTACCATATCCACCAAGGCTACGTAGAGGAACATGCCTGCAGTGATTGCAAAGATCCAAAGTGTGATGTTATTGGCATACTGACCAACAGCCGTGCCTATGAGCATGCCTATGTAAGCCATCATGGCAGAGAGGAGGTTGTATACAATTGCTTGCTTTACAGTCATGCCTGCTTTAAGAAGAACTGCAAAATCACCTGCAGTTAAGACATAATATAAGTTTTAAAACCACAGGATTTTACTTACAAATTCAGGAAAACACTGACAAAAAAAACAAAATTAAGAATGACATAAAAAGATACATCTTTATAACTGAAATTTTATAATGAAATTTTATTTTACTTATTAAACCTTAATACATGCAAAACTTTGGGCGAATCTCAAAGGCATCATGCTGAAAAAGAGTCTGGAAGGTTATATATGATTCCATGATATGATATTCTCAAAAAGATAAAATGATAGTGATGAAGAGCACTTGGGGTCAGCAAGGGGCCAGGATAGAAAAGGGATATGACTACAGAGGGACAGCATGAACGGGTTTGTTGAGATGATGGAACTGTTATCCTTGATGGTGGTAGTGGGGACACAAATCTATATACATGTTAAAATTCAAAGAACTGTACATCAAAAAGCAAGGTCAATGTTACTTGATAACTGCAATGAAAATTTTACAGAACACCAAAAAGACATAAGAAAAAAGAACTTCACCAGAGCACTTTTTGTGAGCAACAAATAGAAGCTCTCTACTTTGATCTCTTCCCTTTCTAAGGGAAATGGGCTAAGTAAGAACAGAGGTAAGTGTATTGTATGCAGTTTACATTTATGTTTTCTTTATTCCAAAAGAAAAGTTATCTTAATTCTGAAAATCCTAAAAATGTAAAAAGAATAAAGAGACTTTTCTCACTCATCTGTCTAAAGCTGGTAAATAAAGGATTAAATATTGATCAGAGAGAGATTACTAGAAGGGTAAAATGTTGCTACAGCTAATAGTCTTGAAGCTAAAGGGTCAAAAGCAATAGTTTCATTAATTATAACTTTTTTTTTGTTTTAGCTACTAAATGTACAAACATCCAGTCAATTACTGAATGTTCAGTAGATGCAAGTTACTATACAGAATACTGAGGGCTGTTTCTTTCCCATGAGAAGGTATCTTACATGACTAAAAGCACATGATCTAGGTGTGTGTGTGTGTGTGTGTGTAAGTTATGATTACATGATTCTCATTTATAATAGATAAGTAGAAGTTAACAACAAAGAAATTAGTGCAAGGCATTATTTTCCATGTTCTAATGAAATGCTATAAACTACATCCTACAACATTACTGGGAAAGATAATACAATCAAGGAGATTATCTACCAATGGCTTCTAAACTGCCATTCTGCAGCTTCCACCTAAGATTACTATACATCCTGTATCTTCTCTCTTTCATCCTAAATACTTAATTCTCCTGCTGAGACTTGGATTCCATGTCAGTTTTTATCTCTTCTCTAGAGTTTTAAGTTCCTCTGGCCTTTCTTCCTCAGCTTCCTCTAAACAATTGAGTTCCTTAACTTCTTCCACTACAAAGTTCCTCACCATACTTTCAATAATTCACCCATCTATTGTGTTAAAGGGACAATTTCATTTAGCAGGGTTTAGGTAATATAAAAGTCACTTCTAGTGACTTTTAGGTTATAAAATACAGTGTTTCCTTTTATAATTTCAAATAGATTTTTTTAAAGGAGAATTATTGAATACTCATTGAACCAAAGCATCATGAGTACAAACATCAATTCTGATGCCTTTCTGATATTACTGGGTGGGAAGATGATTACTTTCATCCCTGAATAACCACCAAACAGCATGAATTAACTAGACAAGATTCCAGATGAGATATTTAGTTAATACTTTTTAAAACTAAGGTATAACTTACATATACAATCCTCCCCTTTGGTGATGTTGAGTTTTGACAAATGTATATATATTTTTAAAAAGTATATATACTATGTAAACATAACTATCAGACTCTGTTTCTTTACCTGCCCAAACCCCAAAATTTCCTTAGGCCCCTCACTTCTAGTGATCTGCTTTCTGTCCCTACAGTTCTGCCTTCCCTAGAACATTACATAAATTATGCAGTCCTTTGAGTCTGGATTTTTTTCTTTCACTTGGAATGACGTAAGATTCATCCATGTTACAATTTATATCAGAAAATCATGGCTTTTTAAAACTAAGTAATATTGCATAGATGAACAATAGCTTATTTATCCCTTCAGTAACTTAAGGACATTTAGTTTATTTCCAATTTTTGATAATTATGAATAAAGCCACTATACACATTCATAAATAGATTTTTGTATTAATAAAAATTTTTGTCTCCTGTATGTAGATACCTAGAAGTGGGATTACTGGCAGCAATTTATGCAAGTTCTGGTTGCTCCTGATCCTTTCCAGCCCACAGTGACAAATCCAGTACTGAATTCTCATGTGTTTATCTGTTATTTGCATAACTTCTTTAGTGAAATGCCTGTTCAAGTATTTTACCCATTTTTTAAAAATTGTTGAATTGTTGGTTTTCTTATTACTGAGTTGAGAGGTCTTTAAAAGTCCCAAAAGATTTTGGTCAGACATATATTTTCCGAATACTTGTTCCTAGTCTTTGGCGTGTCTCTTCATTCTCTTTAAGTGTCTTCTGTGTAGAGTTTTTACTTTTTAGGAAGTCCACTTTATTATTTTTTCCTTAGTAGAGCATGCTTTTGGTGTTGTATATATAAGAACTTGCTTAATCCAAAATATACAAGATTTTCTGTGTTTTCTTCTAAAATTCCTTTATATTTAAAATTTTTTTCACTTAGATCAGTGATTCATTTTTAATTTTTGACTATGGTAGGAGGACTTTTTTTGCAAGTAGATATCCAATTACTGCAGAAACATTTGCTGGACAAACTATTCATTCTACATGGAATTTCCTTTGCGCTTTTGTTGCAAATAAGCTACTATATGTGTGCAGATTCTATACCTTGTTCCACTGATTTATGTACCTATTTTTTAACCAGTACAAATTGTTTTGATTATTGTGGATTTACAATAAGTCTTAAATTTAACCTTGGTTTACTTTTTAAAATTCTTCTGGCCATTCCTTTCCCTTTCCATAAAAGTTTTTGGAAAAAACTCATTTATCTCCAAAATAGTCTATTGAGATTTCAGTTGGAAATGTACTGAATCTACAGGGAGAATTAGTATCTTAGAAATGCTAAGTCTTTTGGTCCATAAACTTACAACAGATAGATCTTCATTTAAGTTTCCTCTTGATTTCGTCCGTTGGCAAATTGTAGTTTTCAACATACAGATTTTATTGTATATTTTGTTAGATTTAACCAAAGTATTTTGTATTTTTTGGCGTTACTGTGAAATTACTTTTTTAAAATTTTAATTTCTAATGGCTCAATGCTAGTATATAGCAGTATAAATGACTTTTATATGATATTCTTATATCATGATGAATCATTTAAGAATCTATCTTTGTCCTACTCTTATCTCAGGTTAGAATTTCCTCAAAGTTATCTGCATATTTTTTTACCCTTCTCTTCTCAGTAAGAACCTATATAAACATTTAAAAAATAAATCAAAGGGCTCCTCAGCTGGAATTTACAGTGAATAAACAAATCTATTCATCTTTTGACAAATCAATCTTCTGTCCTTTCTGCTGACAATGGATATCATTAGCACAAAGAATGAGGTGTGCCTACCAAAGCTGTTCTATTAATGCAATCCAATGTTATAATTATGTTAATAGCTGCTAATAGGAAATCTTTGAGATTTCTTTTTTTAAAAGTATATACTGTAAGATTCTTTTTGTCTTAACTAATGCATGTATATACATGTATAAATCTAAACAGTGAATGTTCAATTTTCCCTGGACAATTTAGCACATTATGAGTATCTTACTTTGAACTTATTTAATTCTTAATACTCGTGAGAGGGAAGGAAAAAATGGACAGCATTATAGACAGCCTCTCTAAGCTGAGTCTTAACACATTATTGACCAGGGATTTTTTAAAAAACTAATGCCTGTGGCATTAATATATCTCCAGTCAATAATGTGTTAATAACACAGCCACATTTATTTATCAAAATGTTATTTCCTTAAGTTAAAACATTACTCAATGTCAAGAAAAGAGTTTGGATCATCTACCTTTTTGGATTATCCTCAACCTCACTTCCCCTTTATACATTCTTATATAGGTTTTCTTATAAATTATTTTTCAAATGTTTCAAATATAGCTCCTTATTGAAAGGTAGAAAAAAGTGGAAAGAATGCAGAAGAATAATATTGCAACTTACTTAACTTCAGCTACACAAGTTTGGCAAAAACAGAAGGAAGAGTAATAAACCAGGTAATCTCATATCCGTTACCCTGTACCACAGCAAACATGAAATGAGAATCTGGGTCTTCTGTTTCCTCTGATGGCTTCCATTTCTGCACACCTCTTATAGGGGACCACCCTGTATTATTCTAAGGTTTAAAAGCACATGTTTTTTCATATCACATTCCCAAACACACAAAAACCCTACCTGGAATACAATTAGAGAAACAGAAATCTGTTCAGAAGAGGAACATCAAAATTTGGAATTACTAAGTGGACTGAGGATCAGTCTCCGAGGTACTAGAATGTAAATGACCCTTGAACGACGCAGGGGCCCAGTCGAAAATCTGCGTATAACTTATAGTCAGTCCTCCATATACTCTATTCCACATGTGCAGATTCAACCAACTGCAAATCATGTAATACTATGGTTTATACTATAGACCTTTAAGACACAGTAACGGGCACTTTGGTAAAATAGGGCCTCTACTGATTAGATTATCCACTCATACTCATTTGGAGAAGAACAGAATGTAGAGAGAGGCATAAAAGCTTCTGAGTCAGAATTCCTAGGCAAGGAGAAAAACCAGTCCCTTGGAGGCTGAGACAGATGCTTGGCAGTTGTATAAGTTGTATAACTTGGGCTTCCTCAGTGGTTCAGTTGGTAAAGAATGCCTGCAATGCAGGAGACCTGGGTTTGTCCCTGGGTAGGAAAGATCCACTGGAGAAGGAAATGGCAATTCACTCCAGTACTCTTGCCTGGAGAATCCTATGGACAGAGGAGCTGGGCAGGCCACAGTTCAGGGGATCCCAAAGAGTTGGACATGAATGAGAAATTAACTTTCACTTCACTTTCATATACTATAGAAAAAAAAATTCTGCACATACGTTGACCAGCACAGTTCAAACCCATGTTTGTTCAAGGGTCAACTGTACATGATTTTCCCCTTAGGGTATCACTTTAGTATAAAACTCTCAGAGTAGTTTTAAGAATTCATAAACAAAAATTTAGCTAGGGCAAAACAGGTTTTATATCAAAGTATTCTAGAATGTGACATATTACGCTGTTTTGCCAACATCTTAAACTGCCAAGTGGAAAGAGGACTTGTCCCTATCCACCTGCCTAGCGTCTGTCTCAGCCTCACAAGGACTGGTTTTTCTCCTTGCCTACGAATTATGACTAAGAAGGTGCTATGCCTCTCTCTACATTCTGTTCTTCTCCAAACAAGTATGGGTAATCTAATCACAGTAGAGGCATATATCTGGCCCTGTTTTACCAAAGTGCTCATTACTGTGTCTTAAAGGTAAAAAGTAGGCTCCACGAACATTATGTAAAACTTCCTTTAGACCACCTCCACATTGTAGATGGATAAAAAAGCCAAAGCCCTTGAGGCTACCTCCAGAGGAGGAAGCTGGGTATTTTTCTTTATGATCTTCCTTTTCCAGGAGCTTAGGCAACTAGCCTGGGGTAGTTTGTCAACTTAGCACAAGGCACTGGGGGAAACATACATTTCCATGCCTCACTCCTCTCCTTCTGGCAGAGCAGATGTACATCTGGATTGGAGCTTCCTCTCACAGCAACAGTGTTAGTCATTCATTCGTGTCCCACTTTTTGTGACCCCACGGACTGTAGCCAACCAGGTTCCTCTGTCCATGGGATTTCCCAGGCAAGAATACCAGAGTGGGTAGCCATTCCCTTCTCCAGGAGATCTTCCCGACTCAGGGATCAAACCTGGGCACCCTGCATTGCAAGCAGATTCTCTACTGTCTCAGCCACCAGGAAAGCCCCAAATAGTAACATCTTAATCTCTGGTTTGTGGGGTAGAACAGGTAGAGGTTTGGAGTCTCAATATTTCACTGAGGCACCTTGGCTCAGGCTTTCACCAGAACTTTGCACTGGGTATCAAGCAAGGGCTTCCCTGGCCAGTAAGCTGTGTATACATTGGTCTTCTGTGTGTTATCACTGTGTGTCACTCCCGTCAGGAAGAACGTACAGGGGGAAGAAGGGGTGAGTGACAGGAAGGCAACCGTCCCTCATTTCCAGTCTCTGCTGTCAGTGCTGTGCTGAAATGGAGCACGGCAAGTGGGTTAAGGAGAATTCAGTATAGCCATACTTAAATCATAAAGTGACCCGACATATTCCTTTTACGGGGTAGTGGGTGGGTAGGAAGGAAGCTGAAGGCTTTCCTGGCATACTATGGATGTGTGTGTGACTATCCAAGTTTATTACTAAGCAAACTTAAAAAAAAAAAAGGGTTAGAACTATTAGGCAATGTTTCTCATATATAAAAACTAACAGTCACTCTTGATTTGTGTTGCTACTGAAGTGTAAGGAAGTTATTTGATACATCATTCTCTTACTAGCATAGGAAAGCAGTTAAATATAACTGTGAGATATAATATCTCACAGTGTAAGATATAATATCTGCACACAAAAAAACCTACATGATAAGAAAATAGGATGTCTAAAAGGGATATACTAAGCATTAAAAGAAGGACCTAGAGAAAGTAAGTGATAAGTTTAGAGGAAAGATGTACTGGAGGGCAGTTCCGAAGTTAGAGGAAGGAAGACTTAACATGCTACACTAGGGACAGAGCTAGCAGGACCAGCCAATTGGGAGGGAAGAAGCAAAGAAACAGGCCAGGCACCCAGAGTGCAGGTTTGGTGAGCTGTGTTTGGGTGAAGTCGAAAACAAGTAAGAGCAATTCAGTGAGTGAGGCTGAAAAGGTAGGTAGAAGCCAGATGTGAAGGTCACTGAAAGGAACATTAATGACTCTCAGCTTTTACTTTATATGCAAAGGAAGGGGACTGAAAGATTTTGATTAAATAAGCACATCACATCTAGTCACATAGTAACAATGGCGTATGTCAAGACAATAGGTATGTAAGATACACTGGAACAGAATGAAACCAGAACTGTAAGTACTCCCTATGGAAACTGCCCAAGGAAGAGATAATGAAGGGTCTGGATGAAGGATTATGGGGCATAAACACCCGATATATGATTATATGCCCACGGTTGACAAGGTAAATAAAACTGTAAGGAACCAAGTCCTAAAGAATCAGTACCAAGTAAGCAGTAAGAGATTTTTTAACTTTATGTGAGCAGTTAGTAATTAAGAAAATTATATAAGTTAATTCTACTTAAAGTGAGCCAATCAGTGTACTACCAATCAAGATAAACATTGTCAAAATGATAGACATTTCAGTCAGAAGAAAGGGTACGTAAAGAAATTCCTTGGATACTCAAGAGATGCAGTGTTTTTTTCTTTCAAATTTATGTCACCTTCATATCCCTCAGATATTTTCTATGTGAATGTATGTTCATATTTTTTCTTCCATTTTTCAATTTATAGGAGGAAACCAAAACACAAGAGAAATTAAAAAAATGACTGCTGTATCAATAAATGCCTATTAATACAATAAAGAAACATCACTGTATACCTTATAAATTGACAAAAATTAAAGAGTTAATGCTAAGTGTTACCAGGGATGTGGAAACAAAGGAATTCTGTTATTACTGCTAGCGAGGACACTAGTTTGATCATTCTTGATAGTGATATGATACTCTCAGGCATGCATATCTTAGGATCCACCAGTTCTGTTCCCAGGTATATACCCCATAAGATGTTCTCACAAGTGTCTCTCAGCATCAAGTCTACAGGTGTTTAATGCACCATTATCTGTGGTGGCAGGAATTTAAAGGATACATGGTAAGTCCAATTACTGGGTGCTAAGTATGTAAAAATGTGGTAAATATGCACCTTCAAGTACTAGGCAGAAACAACATATTAAATTAATTCATGGAGTTAAAAATATACTGATTAGTAAATAAGTTAAGAAACAGAGTGGGCTATAACTTAATATTGTTTACATAAAATAAAAATACATAAGAAACAATACACACTTTTGGAAGCACATTAACAAAAATTTTAGTAAATAAGAGAATGATGATACTGAATACTTGCCATCAGCCACTTTTTATCTTTTAACATCTCTAAAATTTAGATGCATTTATATAACTCTTACATTTGATGAAATCTGATAAATTTTAAGATCATGTTACCTAATTCATGTGGCAGTTCATGACAGAAGACAGCTATAGATGTACTGATTCCTCCCGTCAATCCAGCACTGAAAGCTGCTCCTGAGGTTGGGGGTTGGGGGGGGGGGGGTGGAAAAAATCCAAGTGACATTTACTGATCTTCTTTTTCTATTTTCATTCATAATGGCAGATGCATTCTCTTTTACCTAATTTCATAATGTATGAGCGACTCACTAATCTCAGACACTATCGTTTTTGAACACACAGAGAATGAAGTGCAACAGGCATGTGACAACCAGAGAAAGCTACTGAATGAAATGAATATTCCCTATGAATTAAATTCTCTATTTGTGTAATCTTCTGATTCACTGACAGCTTCAGAGTAGTAACAGCTTTACTGCTTCAATCTCTGACCTCAATTTTAAGTCATGTAAGTCTGTAACTGCACTTGTTCTTGCAAACTAATATTTATAGATATTTAAATATTTAAAAGTATCCATATCCAAACTTTTCTAGGTATAGAGCATGAATGGTATAAATTATTATTTATCAGATGGTCCTGAATACTGAAATCAGAGGTATAAATGTGTTTGATACTACTTGTAAAATTCTTTACTCTTTAACAATGACAGCCACTGTAGCTTCAAAAATATGGTCTTTCCTGAAAGAAACCAAAGCCTACTTCTGAATGAGTATTTAATAGTCTGGATCTCAAAAGAAAATTATGAATTGATCACATTTAATGTTCTCCTAAACTGGTAACATCAGTTTATATTAACAAGATTCTGATAGATGTTTGAATTTGATAGAATGGATTTTTACCATTGTAAAATTTTTCTTCACTTTTTTAAGTATAAAAAAATTTTTAAACCCAAGATTCAAATTCATTTGTTCTCATTTGGAAATATATAAATGTATTTGAAAATATGTTAAGGTAGCTTTTTCAATATGTTAACTATCCCTTCAATAAGAAATCAAGTTACTAAAGAAGTATACTGCAGGCATTTGTTTACATGTTCAAAGAAAAACCCACTGAAATTATACCTTTATGCCCCCAAGTAAACTTACCAAAGACCCTACCATCACCTTTAGAAAAGCCAAATGACAGACTAATATATAATAGTATACTTGTTAAGCTCCAAGATTAGTACTAAAACAGTGGAAAACATAAAATGGTCTTAAGGAAAAACAAATTATAACCCAAGTTTTAAGCCTACTTACCAATTGCTAACCCATCACTGAAATTGTGGATGCCATCTCCCATGATTACCATCCAAGCGATATTAGCTATTCCTGTTTCTTTCAGATCTGATCCAGAATGACAGGGACCATGTGAATGATGAGAATGTTTGTGGTGCCACTGATGATTATGCTTCCTCAGCACAGTTTTACTCTCGTCATGGTGGTTATGTGCCGCAGCATGGAGGTCATGCTCATGGATGGCATGCGTTCCATCACTGTGAGAATGGTCAATGATTTTCTCCTCTTCTATACGAAGGTAATTTTTAGGAGGGGATTCTTGCTGGCCTTCTAAATCCGTCAGTTCAGTTTCATTAAGTCGATCTTCAGAAACAACCGAGTCATCAGTTCCTATATTTATAATGGCAAAGGATATGCTTTATCAACAAGTACATGAATGCATATTTACTTAATTTAAACCCAGACAAAATAGCAGTGTAATGAACATTTCCTAGGTGAATGTCTTTTACAATTCCTAAATAGATATTAAAAAAACAAATAAAACAAGTAAATATACATATGCATACACATAAACTGGGATTTTGAGAGTCTAAAAGATGGACCAGATGAAGTAAATGAAGAGAACTGAAATCAACAGCAGGCAAAGAGAGGCGAGAAACTGGCACTCATGAAGACATTGTGAAGCTCAAAGAGCACATCACCAACAGTTGGAAATAAAAGAGTGGGAAGTTACTGTAGAATTCCCATGGTAACAAATAAACCCATAATTCTTCAGAGAACAAAGGAACCTTAAAGTTTACCCACTCTAACTTTCTCTTATCATTTAAGAAAACAAAGAAAATTTAAATCACTTGCATCCTCGAGGTGCTTTACATATCTGAATATTTCTAGATTGTTAGGAAAATGAAGTTTAAAAACCCTTAAGTGATAACATGTCACATTTTTTTTTTAAATGAAAAGTTGGCTTCTCACCTAGTTTACAAAAGTTATTATATGACAAAGATTTGCTTCACAAAACGTATTTTGGGGCAGAGTCTACAGTTAATATCTAGGCTGCCTCTTCTACAGAAACTCATTAGTAATATTCAGGGGAAAACATAAGTTCACAAAAGGGAAAAATTAGAGTTAAATATTAGGTTTTCCTGAAAATTTTAAGCTATCTCATTACATCATTCACAAAACACAATAGATGAATGGATGAGCAGAGATTTTTATGTAGAAGATCACTCTCCTTTAAGTACAAAGGCCTTCTCTCCTTTTCTCACATGAAAACAATCATATATGGAGGGCATTACCAAGAAATAAAACACTAATTTAAAGATGTTTTGTTTCATTTTTTTTTTCCTGTAAAGTAAAAAGTGCAATATTTTCCTTGCCTGGTAATATAATGAATTGGCCCTATATCCCAGTGTAATAAATAAGGCTGAAAATAATCAGACATGAACAAAATCAGTTGAGACACATAAAGAAATAAAAGAAACTAATATTAGAGAAGCCACAAAGACAAGAAATTTCAAACAACACAGGTACATTTTAGACACAAAATTTCAATTTTTATATTTTAAAGGTTTCTCTTTAGTCAGAACTGTTGTCTACCGGCAAGAGGCTTGAGCTGAAGCCAGTCAGCATCTGGTGTATTATTTAATTTATGATCTGAAAGCTTCCTTCCAATAGCCGATTCTTCTGTATTCTGCTTCATAAACCATTTCTGTTTTCCCTGAAAAAAAAAAAAGAAAAATCTGGTATTAGCATTAAATCTACAGTCACAATTAGCAACAGTATTCACTGTTAACATCTATGGGAATAAATGGTGGCAATTTTATAAAATATTTAGAAAAGGAGAAAAAACTTTTAGAAGTTAATCAAAAGGTCTAACCAGATGAAAACTCCAACTACATTTGCATGTTTTTTTCAAATATTCAACTAAATGGTCCAATTCATGTATTTCTAAGGTAAGAATAGGGTAAAGAGTACTGTATTATTATATGCAACCCAAACAAAATGTGTGCAATATATGTAATATCGCTCTCATTTAATACTGTGTAGGAATGGGAAATTTTAAAAAACAAAAGCTTATTCCTTTGAATTTCTTTCTGTATTTATCACAATGTAACACCCCTATATGTGAAAACAATAGAGACAAACTTGAATTAAAATCCTAAATCTACAGTTTACCTTTATGACACTTGGACAAGTTTATTAACCCTAAAAATATTCACCTTTAAAACGAAAATGAGATTCTCCCAAGGATTAAATGAGGTGATATATGAAAATGACCAATTAATTACTGACTTAACAGCTTTACAATAAAGACAACTTTCCTTTCTCATTTAATCTGTTCTCTACTAATAAAGTCTGTTATATTTCATTGTTTAGTTTTGAATTCTTCTACATTATCTCTTAATAGTCTGGCTTCTTCTCATCAGTCTATCACTAACAACTCTTCTGACTTAAATTTATACTTCTAATCAATGTTCACTTTTAAAAAAGCAAATAAGTATCTTATAACAGAATGAAAGCAAATCCTTGCTGGTTTTGCTTATAGGCTGTGGACTACGTTTTAGATGTTTAAGTCTTCTAACTGCTGCAATAAGTAATTTGTTATGGAGAGCTGAACGTGCAGTAGAGTCTCCAAAGATGGTCACTATCAATTTCTTTTCTCCCTGTATAACTATTCTTTTCCATCCATAAGGTATCTTATGGTGGAATCTATTCAGGAAACTAAGATCATGGCATCCGGTCCCATCACTTCATGGCAAATAGATGGGGAACAGTGGAAACAGTGGCTGACTTTTATTTTTTTGGGCTCCAAAATCACTGCAGATGGTGACTGCAGCCATGAAATTAAAAGACTCTTACTCCTTGGAAGGAAAGTTATGACCATCCTAGATAGCATATTAAAAAGCAGAGACATTACTCTGTCAACAAACGTCCGTCTAGTCAAGGATATAGTTTTTCCAGTGGTCACGTATGGATGTGAGAGTTAGACTATAAAGAAAGCTGAGCATGGAAGAACTGATGCTTTTGAACTGTGGTGTTGGAGAAGACTCTTGAGAGTCCCTTGGACTGCAAGGAAATCCAACCAGTCCATCCTGAAGGAGATCAGTCCTGGGTGTTCATTGGAAGGACTGATGCTGAAGCTGAAACTCCAATACTTTGGCCACCTGATGCAGAGAGCTGACTCACTGGAGAAGACCCTGATGCTGGGAAGGATCGAGGGTGGGAGGAGAAGGGGACGGCAGAGGATGAGATGGTTGAATGGCATCACTGACTCAATGGACATGAGTTTGGGTAAGCTCTGGGAGTTGGTGATGGACAGGGAGGCCTGGCGTCCTGTGGTTCATGGGGTCGCAAAGAGTCAGACATGACTGAGTGATTGAACTGAACTGAACTCCTTGTCCCCTGAATTTTCACAGGTCTTTTGACTTGCTTTGACTAAATAGAATCCAACAGAAGTGATTCTGTGCCGGTTCTGGCCTAGTCTGAGATAAGCCTGGTACCTTTTGCATTTTCCTCAGGGAATTTGCCCACTATGCTATGAAGGAGCTCAGTCTAGACTCTGAAGAGAGGCCATGTGGAAGAATACCAAGATGCAGAAACAGACTGAGGCATTCTGAGACCTTTCCAGCCCTGAACTGCCCTAGTCAACCCAGACCAGCAGAGTGTGAGTGAGTCACTCAACCTGACACCATGTGGAGCAAAATAACTGTCCCACTGAATCCTGCCTATTTTGGGGGCTTGGGGTTGTTTTGCTTCAGAGCAATAGATAATAGAAACTGAGGAAACAGAAAATGTTCAAAAGGAAGTAATACAGAGACACCCTAAAGAGAAGAAGAGAAACAGCAGTTTTAACATGAGATGAAGAAAAAAAAGGAAGGAGGAGACAACAACAGTACAAAAGCCAATGAGACAGATACAGAAAATAAAACACCAGCTGGGAATTTGTTTAACTGCTCTGTTTCTGACTGTCGATTTTCCTAAAATCTTGCCAAATGACTACCCTCAAAGCCCCAACTTGCTGAAACCAGTCAGCATCTGGTATGTTACTTAAACTTGTGTTCTGAAAGCTTCCTTCCAATAGTTGATTTGTCTACACAGAACAACAAATGTCTGTTCTACTCAAGTATCACTAATTACCTTTCTTCAAAAAAACACTATATACTTTTTCATCTTAGGTTACTTATTGTCCTATTTATCATAAAGGAGGTGAACTGATTTATCTACCTAGATATACTTTGGTATACTTGAAGAAAGCCTTACTATTACATTTAGAATGCCACATAGAGAATGGTATATTTTTCAGATTTTAACTTCCCACAATTTCAAATTTACAAAAAATTGCCATGATTTGACAATTCTATTCTCATGCATCAGTTTGCTTTATAAAAATTTGTTTCATTTTGTCAGTAAGTCTAGGTTCAAAACGAGTTCAAGATTAAATTATAAAAAATTTATTTACTCTGAACTCTTAAAGGATTACATTTTATATTTATCTGTAAACTATACAGCCTCTAATATTTAGTACTCATCAAATATATATTTGCTGCTTCAGCATTGTTGTTGCTCAGTCGCTCAGTTGTGTCCGTCTCTTTGCGACCCCATGGACTGCAGCACACAGACTTCTCTGTCCATCATCTCCCAGAGTTTGCTCAAACTCATGTCCATTGAATCTGTGATGCCATCCAACCACCTCATCCTCTGTCATTGTCTTGTCCACCTGCCTTCAATCTTTCCCAGCATCAGGGTCTTTTCTAATGACTTGGCTCTTCAGATCAGGTGGCCAATGTACTCAAGTGTCAGCTTCAGCATCAGTCCTTCCAATGAATATTCCGGGCTGATTTCCTTGAGGATTGACTGGTTCAATCTCCTTGAAGTCCAAGGGACTCTCAAGAGTCTTCTCCAACACCACAGGTCAAAACCATCAATTCTCCGGTGCTCAGCTTCCTTTATAATCCAATTCTCACATCCATACATGACTACTGAAAAAAAAAAACATAGCTTTGACTAGATGTACCTCTGTTGGCAAAGTAATGTCCCTGCTTTGTAATATGCTGTCTAGGTTGGTCATAGATTTTCTTCCAAGGAAAAAGCGTCTTTTAATTTCATGGCTGCAATCACCATCTGCAGTGATTTTGGAGCCTAAGAAAATAAAGTCCGTCATTGTTTCCATTGTTTCTCCATCTATTTGCCATAAAGTGATGGGACTGGATGCCACGATCTTGATTTTCTGAATGTTGAGTTTTAAGCCAGCTTTTTCACTCTCCTCTTTCACTTTCATCAAGAAGCTCTTTAGTTCCTCTTTGCTTTCTGCCATCAGAGTGGTATCATCTGCATATATGAGGTTATTTGTTATTTCTCCCAGCAATCTTGACTCCAGCTTTTGCTTCATCCAGCCCAGCATTTCACATGATGTACTCTGCATATAAGTTAAATAAGCAGGGTGACAATACAGCCTTGACGTACTCCTTTTCCTATTTGGAACCAGTGTGTTGTTCCATGTCCAGTTCTAACTGTTGCTTCTTGACCTGCATATAGGTTTCTCAGGAGGCAGGTAAGGTGGTCTGGAATTCCCATCTCTTGAAGAATTTTCCACAGTTCGCTGTGATCCACAGAGTCAAAGGTTTTAGCGTAGTCAATGAAACAGATGTTTTTCTGGAATTCTCTTGCTTTTTCTATGATCCAATGGACACTGGCAATTTGATCTCTGGTTTCTCTGCCTTTTCTAAATCCAGCTTGAACATCTGGAAGTTAATGGTTCACGTACTAACTTGGAGAATTTTGGGCATTACTTTGCTAGTATGTGAGATAAGCGCAGTTGTCCAGTAGTTTGAACATTCTTTGGCATTGCTTTTCTTTGGAATTGGAATGAAAATCAACCTTTTCCAGTCCTGTGGCCACTGCTGAGTTTTCCAAAGTTGCTGGCATATTGAGTGCAGCACTTTCACAGCATCATCTTTCAGGATTTGAAATAGCTCAGCTGGAATTCCATCACCCGCACTAGCTTTGTTCCTAGTGATACTTCCTAAGGTCCACTTGATTTCACATTCCAGGATGTCTGGCTCTAGGTGAGTGATTGCACCATCGTCGTTATCTGAGTCATTAAGATCTCTTTTGTACAGTTCTTCTGTATATTCTTGCCACCTCTTCTTAATATCTTCTGCTTCTGTTAGGTCCATACCATCTCTGTCCTTTATTATGCCCATCTTTGCATGAAATGTTCCCTTGATGTCTCTAATTTTCTTGAAGAGATCTCTAGTCTTTCCCATTCTATTGTTTTCCTGTTTCTTTGCATCAGTGTTAGAACACACAATTGAAAAAAATTAGAGCCTCACAGTAATTCCAAAACTTTTTTATAACCCTGCAATTTGTGTTGTGTTCTAAATTTGTTATTTACAGAGATAGACTTTAAACTGTTTATCTAATCAACTTCTTCTTGATTCTCTCATTTAAATAATTCTCTTAATCACATTCTCTTCCCCATGCCATGACTCAAGACCTCTTCACCTCTCCTCTAAATATCCTGCAGTAATCTCTGATTCATTTCCTTCCAGTCAATCTTACCTTGGCATCCCTCCCACCATTGTCAATTCTTCACCTATCCACATGACCTTTCACATGGCCTTTCACAAGCCAAATGCTGTTAGATCTCTTTCACTTTTCTCTAAGTTGATCCTTCCCAGGTCCTTTGACCACTCCTGAGATAACACTTCACTGAATGCACCATCTTGATCAAATCTCCTCTGGAAGCAATTACATACAATGCCCTGACTAAAAGATGGCCATGAAAATGAAATACACTCCTTGGAATATGACATGAAAATATAGATGAGAAGTAGGGTTTATTTCCTCATGCATTTAGATAACAAGAAATCATGATGGATGAATCAAAGTTTCAGAGCTAGTTTGTAGCTAGACAAGAAATAGAATCACTCTTTCTGAATCCCAGTTCAGAGTTCTATTCTAAGCCATATGTCCCAAGAGGATACATACAAAACACATACATAAACAAACAAAAATATATCTGTAACAAAACAGCATTAAAGTTCTAAGAGTGGACTGTATATATTATGATGACAGTGACCACCCATTGTTCTTGAAGATTTTTTTTTTCAGTATTTGTAGCTAATTAAGAAAATGTAAAAATTTTCTAACTTGTTGCTTTGTGAAGCTTTCTAAAAATGTCCTCTAGGATTTACTTAAACAGAATATACTAAAAACAATCATCATCAATATCACAATCATGTTAATGAGATGTATTCAAGAAGAGCGTGAGAGACAGATGTGAACAGGAAGTGTGTAAATCATAGTGAATGACAGTATCTTATTTTCTTGTGGGAAAAATTCTTTTAGATATTTGTCTTATTCTACTAAATGTGACCTGAAAGACAGTTCATGACAAACAGGGCATTTAATCAACAGTCCAAGTACCATCTCCAAAGTGTTTTGTTACTTTAAATGAACCACCAAATCTTTCATTTCATGAATATTTTCTTCCCCCAAAGCCCTCTGAATCTAAATTCTTCTTACCTCTAGTACTTACACCACTGGCAAGGCATTTCTGGTATAGAAATTTGTTGTGTGAGAACATTGTCATTAAAAGATATGTCAATGATAGCCTCTAATACTTGAAAATATTACCTATGAAGACCAATTAGACTTGCTTCTATTTATACATTTTTGCATTTTTAGTAAGCATAAATTGGCCAATATTTTTCCAGACTATGTAAGTTAACTAGATAAGAAGCAACACAAAATTAAGGGAAAATGGACTCCTATATCTTGATTAGAAATGCTAAAACAAATGTAATAACAAAAAAAACCCGGCAAAGATCAGTTTTTCCTCTGAAGACAATCTATTCAATGATATTTGAATGATACATACAAACACAATGATACATACCAACACCATGATTAAAAAAAAAAAAAAACACAGAAACAGACTAATAGACACAGAAAAAACCTTATGGTTACCAAAGGAAAAAAGGGGGAGGGATAAATTAGGAATTCGGAATTAATAGATACATACTACTATATATAAAATACAGATATAGCACAGGGAACTATATTTGATATCTTGTAATAATCTACAGTGGAAATGAATCTGAGAAAGAATATATATATCTGAATCATGTTGCTATACACCTGAAACTAACACATAATAAAAAAAAAAAAAAAGAAAAAACACAAGGCCTTCCCGAAAATAAAGGTTTTGAGTTCTACCTTTCAGAAAACAAATAACTAAAAAATACTTACCCTTTGCTGTTTGTAGTGCTTAAACATTCTAATGCAATGTTCGATGATAAATAATAAGTAAATGCCTCCTAGAGCAACAAGTCCTTTCAATACAGCATCATATTCTTCCAGAAACTTCTTAGATTCATGTCCATGAGAATGTCCATGCCCATGTGCATGTTGATGACTGTGATCATGTCCGCCCTGAGACTATTAATGAGAATAAGAAAAGCTTCTAAACCAGTAATTAAAATGCTACTTTGAGAATATAATCTCCAGAAAAAAAAAAAATCCCCTGTTACATCACTTGAATATAAGTAGTCTTCCATTCAATTCTGTTATACTCAGTGGCCTGGAAAGTACTACACTTCATGGTAAATATAAACCAAAGACCAAAAATTTCAAACAGCTATCGGGGTTAAGATATTAATACATCCTATAATGACAGAATCAATCCAGGAGTAATAGAGGCAATGATGGGTCCTTTGTAAACTGAAGTAAATATGACCCAGATATAAGACTTATTATCTATAAAACTAAAATAGACTAATTTACCAGCAGGTAACCATTTCTAACTCCCTATAATCTAACTTTCTCTTAAGCTAATTTTTATAATGTTTTTCTTTTATAAATTATTTCAAAGAAGTGATGAGATGTTATGTCTGCATATACTGTTGAACATGAGCGTACGTATATAAACGTGTTTAATTTTCTACATTTTTTAAATCTTTAGCAAAAATAAATGTTTGTACAGAAACAAAGCTCTTTTAAAACTGCAAAACATGTAAGTTCTATCATATTAATCTTAGAGAATGTAAAAGAGAACTGGTCCTCAGTATTTTCCCTCCTTGTAACATTTATTTACAATCTTTCCTTATTTGCAAGTGGTCAACAGAAGAGGTTTCTAAACCTCTTAAAGAAGATAAGACTGTTACAAAAGGTAATGGCTTCATTTAATTAACACTTCTTAAGAAAATAAATAAGTTAAATAGCACTTAAACACTGTTGCACTTCAACTGCTGGCCCAGTTCTGAAGCAGACTGTTGCTAGCTTGGTGGCCAGGGACAAAGGGCAGGCAAGGGGTTAAAATAAATGGGAAAATAGGTCACACAGAATAAATCAGCAGCAAAAAATGCATATGCACAGTCTTAATATTAACTTTTTAAAAGGCAATGCCATACAGTGTTCCAGACACTATATCGGGTCTTCTCAACCAGGAGTGCAGAAGGGAAGAAGAGGTGTACCGAACACACAAATAAATACTGTCTCCCAAATACTCCAGAAGGGAAGAGATGAGAACTTAAATATTCAAATCTATAATTTTACATTCAGAAAAGAAAAAAGCTCTGTTGTTTCCATAATTTGAAGGAAAGACAGTAATACTGGTTCAAACACTCTGAACTGGTAATAAGCCTTTTAAAAGGTTGAGAAGCAAGGAAACAGGAGTGTGGTGCATGTGCCTGCACAGGTGCTCCGTCATGTCTGACTCAGCCCACCAGGCTCCTCTATCCATGGGATTTTTCGGGCAAGAATACTGGAGTGAGTTGCCGTTTCCTCCTCCAGGGGATCTTCCCTACCCAGGGATCGAAAAACAGCGTCTCTTGAGTCTTCTGTATTGGCAGGTGGATTCTTTACCACTGTACCAGCTGAGAAACCCAGGAGTGTGGACTTATCACATCATTAGAAGTGTTCCCAAATGTAAGAACACAAGTGGTACAGCAGGTGAAAAGATAAATGGCCCCATGTGTAAAGAGGTTAAACACCTAAAATCATTAACTGAAGATGTCTGCCTATTCCTGCTCAAATAAAGATGCCTGTGGAGCACTGGCTATGTGCACAACCATCATAAAATACCATATACATTTCTTCTAATGGCTTTCTTGAGAAACCATAAAGATAAAACACTCACTGATCACTCAGTATTCACTTTCAGAACTGTTAATAGAGCATTTTAAAATTTCAGCTTCACTGAGGTATAAGTGACATATGTAATTGTAAGAGAGTTAAAATGTGCATTGTGATGATCCGATACGTATATGTTGTGACAAGTGAAGATATAACTGACATTATCAGTTTTTGCTATTTTAAAATCTAATAAATTCAATTTTTAAAACACTACTTAATTTAAAACTGTACAAATGAGAAAATACTTCATCCTATAAGCAATATAACAACAGAAATATTAGATTAGTATGCTACAGCTTGCTAATAAAGGACCCTCTTAGCTGAAATACTTTTACCTCTTAAAAAGATTTAAAAGGTTTCTTACATGGGGCAGTAGATGAAGAAGGGCGTCTCCACTCATTGTTCCTACAGCTAGTGCAACGAGGAATGTAAGAAGGAATTTGAAGCATCCTTGGTTAATGATAGGAACCAAGATCACGCCTAGCAAGGAAAGCAGGCTAATGACAGTGATAGAAATGATACCACAAATCCACGCTGTAGGAAGAAAGTAATGATCAATATTAGTATGCCATTATAAACAAAAAAGCTCCAACAAATAAACATATGATAAATGAGTCATGGAAGACTGATTATCATACCCAGACTGGTTTTTAAGAAACTGTATTTTGGCACTAGTGTGTTTAAAAACAAAACAATTATATTCAAGGTGGTTACCTTGAACACTTAAAAAAAGAACTAAACTCAGACCAAGTTAGAAATAGTATTTTCAGTGGTCTACCTTATTAGAAACAGGGGCTTAAAATGACTTAAGGCTGTGGTTCACTTACACTATTTAGATTTAAATAAAATTTTGCTAATGTTAAAAGGCACAGTCACAGCAATAAAACTGTTTACTTAGAGACTCTAATTATAAAACTCTCTTGTGAGCATTAAAGAATCTAAGTATCCAGCACACTATAATCTATGGAAATCTTTCCAATACAAAGTCTAAGAAACTTTTAAATATTAGCTCCAAATAGAAATATACTCAGATAAGACCAAAAAAGCCTATTCCTAGTTGCTTTATTGTATTTCATTTCTTATTTTTACAAAAGATAATTCAGTCCAGCTTTCCTTGGTATCATCTTTCTTCCATACCCAGTTACAAATTCCCTTTCCCCCAATTTAGTTTTCCGTACAATTTACTACTTTTAAAATTTCACTATATAGTTGTAACTGTATCAGAGCACAGGAGAAATGTTTTCATGACTTGTAAGAAACAGGTGGAATTTTGTGCACATTTCTTTTTCTAGGCTATTCATAAGCAGGTATCACAGATTAATGCCAGTGGTTCAGGGAGTGAGGCATTTTCATTTAAAATGAGAGATTACTTTTTTCTAATGGCCTAAAACAAAATAGAAATGTTTTAAACTTTGTTTAATACTTACATAAAATTTCGCTGAAGAGTGATACTTTAGAAAAGTTTTAATCTAAAATGATATTTTCCTAATCAAATCTAACAGGACTATAAATCTGCTGAAAGATTTTTATGTCAAGATTTATGATAAATGAATAAAGGAAAAATGCATTTCTTTATCAAGATAACTTAAAATTTTCAAAGACAGAAATAAAGATAGATAAGAAAAAACTTTAAGACAGAAATAAAGATAGATAAGAAAAAACTTTAATTGACCTGCTAAATGCTAAACTATCAATAAAACTGTTTATTCGTTGGACATTTTAGTCACACTATCCAATAACCTTAACACTACAGCTAATTCTCGTTAGCTAAATTAGTTCTGAATAAAACAATAGGTCATCTGTTACTAATGGAAGCACTGTGATTTATCCTATATGTAACAGATAATTACCACGATATAAACACTGGGAAGCTGAAGGGTCAAAAAAGACTGAAACACAGTCAGAGACTGAATACACTGGCTTCCATCCTTTTTAAGGATTTTGGGGGCAATAAGGAAACAAATTCAATTCTCAAAGAATCAAGGTCAAGGAAAGATTCATTACAAAGGCAACATCTTGGTAGTGGATCTAAAAAACAAGGAAATTTCTCCCAACTATGGTTGGGACTACCAGGCACAGGGAACTGGGGTTAGAAACAAAAAATACCGTGTCATATAAAGAAAAATATAAGGTCAAACAAGGTTTAAAGACTGACTTCATAATGATGACCAAGTTAAGTCACTTTATTTGTGTGTGCCCCATGTAGACTGGAACAATGAAATCAGTGGGTGGGAGAGTCTGGTTGGAGAAAAGGGACCGTTAAGTATACATGAAATCAGGGAAGCAATCAAGTTACTGGTCAACTAAATGAAAAAAGCTTTGTCAAAACTGCTATAGCTCTCCAGCTCCAATCAAACCACTGGGGGGAAGATAATTAAAAAGGGAGGGAACAGAAGATACGGTAACTAAAAGGGAAACACCAAGGCTAATAATGAAAACACTAAATCTGCAGATAAAATATTTTACATATTAATATACAACTCTGTCTCCCCAAATATATTTTTCCTTAGTTTGTCAATAATCCAATCTAGAGGCAATATATCTCAAAAAGAGCCAATCTAAAAGATACTTTAATAAATAAATTAAAGAAAAAGGGCGCAGAATAAAGAGTCTATGAAGCCATAAACATTTTAAAATGTTCTGTGATGATTTACAATCTCAAGTGACTTTTGGTCAATTAGTCAAAACTCAAGTAACCAAATAAAATCGGATTTGGTGAAAATCAATTGCCAGTATGCTAACAGATGAGCTAAATACATTGTAGTGTAAGTTGCTCAGCTGCGTCTGACTCTGAGACCCCCATGAACTGTAGCCTGCGAGGCTCCTCTGTCAATGGAACTCTCCAGACAAGAATACTGAAGTGGGTTGCCCATTTCTTTCTCCAGGGGACATCCCAACACAGGGATCAAACCCAGATCTCTTACATTGCAGGCAGATTCTTTACCGTCTGAACCACCAGGGAAGACCAAATACATTTATAACTGAAGACCAATCACTAGCAGATTGATACACAAATAAATTAGACAAATGTTTACACATGTAATTGTGTGTTAAAGGGTATACAAGTTCATATGTGCCCAAATGGGTATATGTCACATATTACACACTCCCAGGTATAATTTCTCACTTATCAGTGTTGTTAATTATATATCTTTCTCATCCACCTTAGAAAGCAAATCTGTAAACTGAAAGAAATGTCTGAAAGAGAGTAGCTTATTTAACGATTAGAAAACCACTGGTATTTCTGCTGACATCTGAAACTCAGAGAAACTCAAGAAAACATAATCCTGCAAAAGCCTCACATGAATCAATCCCAGGTCACAGCATTGCCCAACTTCCAAGAAGAAACTCAGATACATGCATGCCTGTATTCATTAGAGCATGATTCACAATAGGCAAGCATACATTGATGAATGAATGGATTAACAAAATGTAGTGTATATATGCCATAGAATATTACTCAACAATAAAAAGGGATGAGGTTCTGATACATGCTATAACATGGATGAACCTTAAAAACATTATGCTGAGGGTTTCTCTGCTGGCTCAATGGTTAAGAGTCCGCCTGCCAATGCAGGAGATGCGGGGTTGATCCTGGGTCCAGAAGGATCCCACGTGCCACAGAACAACTAGGCCTGTGTACCACAACTATTAAGCCTGTGCTCCAGAGACCAGAAGCCAAAACTACTGAAGCCCGAGGGCCCTAGAGTCCGTGCTCCACAACAAGAAAAGCCTGTGCACCGCAACTAGAGAGTAGCTCCCCCTGGCCACGGCTAAGAAAAGCTGGAACAGCAATGGAGATCCAGCAAAGCCAAAATAAATACATTTATAAATAAATACATTTATAATACACTTATAAAAACTAAAATAAAACTAAACAATTTCCTACATTAGGAAAAAAAAACATTATGTTGAGTATTTCACAATAAAGCAGACAAAAAGACAAACACTGTATGATTCCTCTTAAATGAACTATCTAGAACAGTCAAATTCAGAGACAAAAGAAGATTAGACGTTACTGGGGGCTGAGGTTAAGGGGGAAATGAATTATTGCTTAATAATTACATAGCTTCTATCTGAAAGTGAAAGTTGCTCAGTTATGTCCAACTCTTTCCAACCCCATGAACTATACAGTTCATGGAATTCTTCAGGCCAGAATACTGGAGTGGGTAGCCATTCTCTTCTCCAGGGGATCTTCTCAACCCAGGGACTGAACCCAGGTCTCCCACATTGCGGGCATATTCTTTACCAGCTGAGCCACCAGGGAAGCCCAGCTTCTATCTGGGTTGGTGGTTAAAACAAAATGTTGTAAAAAATAGTGTGATGGTTGTACAACACTGTGAATGTAATAAATGCACAATGGTTAAGACAGCAAATTTGATGTTATATATATTTTAGCATAATAAAAAAGTTAAATAGTTAGCTAAAAAGGCAAAGTCAAAACTAAACCCAAAGTCCCTTCTTAATCCACTGTTATTTCCAGTAAATCATAGTATTTTCAGAGAATATTTGGCCAAGTGACTTATTTATCACTTTTGTCTCTCCCGAAGTAGCTTCATATAAAAGGGAAGACAGCTTCATATAAAAGGATTTACAAGAAAAATAAGTATAATTAAACATGATAATAAGAAGAAATACTAACTTTATTAATCCAAATGGCAATCACTCTTTCAAAATTTGAGCTAATTAGGACAGAGGAAGAGGGACAAAAGGTTACTACCAAACTTGTAGCTACACAAGATTTTCAGAATATATGCCATTGAAAATACATGTAAGTGTAAAGCTAATTAATTTCACATATCTATAACCCATCTAACACAAAGTATTACTTATTTTTGCCAGTGTCAAGAAATAAAAGAGCCAAATTTCCTATTTCAGATAAATCAGAATTTTTTTAGTTATTTTCTACTGCAACTGTGTCATTAGCAAAATAGCCCTATTATCCCATAAGTTTATGTTATCATACGTGTTTTCTTATGCTGATTTCTTATTAATTTTAAATAATAATTTTAGCTTCCTAGCACTAAAACTTTAAGTAGTCATTCTCCTAACAAGTTATAAACATTCTTCAAGGAAAATTACTGTTTCTTTGACCTATGAATAATAAAATTGTTTTGAATTTACTGTCCTTGAAATACTTTCCCACGCTATTTAAGTACATAGTTATTTTCAGAATTAGTAACATACACATTTAAAGCTCAAATATCATAATTTCCTAGATGTTAAAAAAAGCCAATAAAATTGTTTTGATTTCCAATCAAATTATTTGTTTTTTTTAAATCATAATTTGGTATAAAGTCAAAAGAAACCCAAAATAACAATAAATGACAAATAATGAAAGGAATCTTATAAAATTCATAGCAACATCACTATGCAAACTATTAAGTACAACTAGCAAATGTTTTCTTTATTTGTACCCAGGATACCGTATGTAATAAAAAACACTAAATGTCTGAAACAAGCTTCACTTATTCTGCAAATTAGGTTGCTTAAAACGTTAAAGGTCTTCAAGCTTAGTTATTCACCAACTCCCTTTCTCATTATCTAGAGAGAAAATGCATTCTTCTAAAAAGAAGCGCTCATCTGTGGAAACTTTCTAATTAACTTGGTTCAAAGCATGTGCAAGATGGCAGTTTTCTACACTGTTTCAGCATTTTAATTGGTGGAAAATGCTTAGCAGCCTATTCACAACTCCCCCTTGGTAATTAAGCTAGGGTCAACTCTATGACTAAATGAGCCAATCTTGAGAAACAAATGATTTCTAACATCCACAGTATATAGCATATTTGGTTTACAGCAGTCTTTGAACAGTTAATGAGGTAGTAGCTGTGTCACTATGGGAGATTTATACAGAACAAGTTAACCTTCTTAAATGGTGCAGCAGTCATTAAAAATAATTACTAGCAGGGCATTCTAACAATTATTAACATCTATAAGGACATAATTAATTCAAGTTTCATTTCTGACAATGCTAATAACCACCTGCAAACAACTAATCAATATTCACTATTAGTCATGTAAGTGTTTTCAAAGCAAGTACACTTTTCTCTAAGGTTTTTTAACCTGAATGAAGTGCAATTTTCAATACTACTATAGTCAAGCATCTGTCAACAGTTTTGTTAAAATATATAGACTGTATCAATATTATGACATAGACAACACTAAGTCATAACCCACAGCTAATGTGAAAATAAATAACTAGAGTTTTTTAAGAAACTGTAGAAAAAGAAAAGGCTATTAGTTTTAACTCTAGATGCCTCAATCTTTTCAGCCTCCATTTTTCTCCTGTAAAGAACAAATGAATTTTATTTTTAATTAAGATAAATAATCTTAGACCTAGCATACACTTTTACTCCTGCCAGTGAGAGTTTATAAGTGCCTAAGAGAGACACTGGCTCTCAAGGTGTTTAGTTATGTAAAGATCAATGAGCATGAAGCCAGCAAGGGGACATATTTTGTCTATCCAAAGATCATTATTCAAGTCTAGTGCGTGGACTCACTTTCTCTGCCCTTTCAGATCTTATCAGACTGAACCCAGCTTGTCTACTAGAAGACTATTCTTAGATTTTTTTCTAATGACTAATCTATACTTAGAGTAATACTTACTTACATCAGTATTTACCTGTACCACTTTCCTGTCGACATCTGCTTTATCTGTCAAAACACTAAACTCTCCTTATCTCCCTGTCACGTACATTCTGGCCAAGCACACTTAAGAGCCTTCTCAGCAGGAAGCAGTGGAGCATAGCCCAGGGAAAGAGCACAGTGGTTTATTACCGGCTTTAGATGGAGAATACTCTAGTTCCCATCACAGCTCTGTTATGTGATTTGGGCATGTTACTTAACTTCTCAAACCTCCTTTCCTCAGTAAAGAGAAGTAAAGAAAAATGTCTAGCTCATGGGAATAACAAATTAAACTCTTATAAAAGTGGTGTTTAAAATAGCACATGGCAATAAAGTTCTAATAAATATAGGCTATTATGATTAATTTATCCATTCTGAGGTTATTATTTTCCTATTGCAAAGAAATTAACCAAGAATAGGTAGGAACCTAAGAGACTTAGTTATGTATTGAGAGCATTTCTTTTATGTGTAACTCTTTTAAGCATTAAGGAATGTCTCTATCTCAAACGGAACTCTTTTTTTTTTTAATTAATTTTATTTATTTATTATTTTTATTAGTTGGAGGCTAATTACTTTACAAACAGAACTTTATACTAGAATGTGATATTCATAAACATGTCTACCTTATTGCTCTACTGCTCTACACTATGAAAACTTTTTAAATGCTGCCCTTTCAATCTTTTACCTATTTTATCAAAATTGTTTTTTCCAGCTCATATTCATACACATAAATTTAGCCACTTTAATTACTATTCCATTGGTACAGAATCTGCCTGTGATGCAGGAGATCCCAGTTCAATTCCTGGGATGGGAAGATCTGCTGGAGAAGGCGGCTACCTACTTCGGTACTCCTGGGCTTCCCTGGTAAAGAATCTGCCTGCAATGTGGGAGACCCCAGTTTGATCCAAGGTTGGGAAGATCCCTGGAGAAGGGAAAGGCTACCCAATCCAGTATTCTGACCTGGAGAATTCTGTGGACTATACAGTCCATGGGGTCGCAAAGAGTTGGACATGACTGAGTGACTTTCATTTCATTTCAATACCACTATATCTTAGGCATTTCAACCAGAAGTGCATTCAACATGATTTTGCACATATGAAGTTCATGAAATACCACTCATTCTTCTTGAGAACACTGTATTATCAACGTACACTAGGCTGACTTACAGGTGTTCTTTCTAGGTTAGAAACAAAAGTTTATAGACTAATATTAAGCAATTTATTCATTCAATCAATATATGAGTGTTTACTTTTTGTCTCAAGTATCTTTTATCTCAGGCACTAGTGATGCTCAGATGAAAGACCCAGTCACTTCCTTTAAGCAACTAAAGGCAAACAAAAAGATAACTAATCCAATTATTAAAATCCCTGAACTCTGTGTCATGATGGCAATATCTGGAGGGTGTCAAGGTAGGGGTCTTAATTAAACCTAGTACAGTCAGTTAAGTTATTCCAGGGAGACCAATCATTGAGGAATCACAGTGGTCAGCCAAGCAGAGACACTTACAAAGTAAAAAGGCAGAGAAGAATCAAGGAAAACCAGCATAATCTATTATCATGGGTTTGTTAAAATTAGAGGTAAGAGGGAAGAAATGAATGGTGGAAAATAGAGATGTGACAGTAGGTAGACATGGATCATGTTCTGAAAAGCATGACTGGGGGGTAAAAACAAACATATAAACTTTGAACAACATAGCATAATGCAGTATTTTAAAATAAATGAGGAAAAATATACCTAGAACATCACATCAAATCCATGTCCTCATAGCTACTACTACTTACAATATTAAAAAATGTAAAGAAAATTACTACAGATCTAATGAAAATGTTAAGTAACATTAACAATATATGGCAAAAATCACAAAGGGGATATCAGAATTTCCTAAATTTGGAAAATAGCACAGTGATTAACCTCAGACTTGGTGGGTTTTATCATTTACTAGGTCTGGGAACTGTGGGCAAGTTACTAACTTTTCTATATCTTACCTTACTTATTACCCATAAAAACAAGAATCATATAATAGCTTCCTCAAATAATTCAATTAGTATTAAAATTTAGTGAAGAAAAGTATGTAAAAACACTTTGCACATATGAATACCAAAATGATTTAAGTTTCCCAGAACTGAATTCTACCACTACTGCTCACTAGTTTTGAGACCTTGGAAAATTTTTTAGGGTAGCATTCTCTACTTCATAGGATTGTTATGAGGAGTAAATGAACTGAGTATAGAACAGTGCCTACAATACATGTTTATAAATAAATAAAAGTCCATGTATTAAATAAATAGTGGCTATCACTAAAAAGAAAAATCTGTGTCAGAGCATCCAAATAAATCTAGCTTAAGTGCTAAGCATGATCTATGAGGGGAACAGAAACACAGGCAGGGAAAGTTATGGAGTTATTTCAACAACTCAGTAAAGAACCAAGGAGGATATGAACTAAAGTTAAGACAGAGTGGACAGAACTGGAAAATACTTAAGACTCACCTGGACTCAACAACTGATTATACAAGTGAAAACAGGAAATGAAAACAGAAACCATACATAGAGGAAAAACATCAAAGCTTTTCAGATTTTATCAAAAGAATAAATTGGAATGACATTTGGGATTCATTAAGAGCTACAAATTTGCTATGGAATTTAAGTTTCAGAAGGAGGTACCTATAAACGTCAAGGTGGAGCAATCTAGCCAACTGGATATGATGAAAAAGTATAAAGAGAGAAGTTCAAAAACAGTTCTGATTTTACCCATTTGGTTTTACTCTCTAAGTACCCATGATGAAGTTCATGTGCCAATCACTGGCATTCCGAGACATTCCTAGGGTTTCACCACACTAGCTTCCTTTTTCATGTCCTTAGAAATTTTGTAATCTTGGCTTTTCACTAGAGCCCCTCATCTTGCTAAATATTGAATAATTATAACATCATGTAGCTTTAATTAATGGCCCCTTATTAACATTTGCCCATAAAGAAGAATCTATTTATGAAAAACCTGCATTCCCTTTCCAATCTATTAGTTCTCTGCCCACAACAAAATGTGCCTATGTAATGCCAGAAGAGGTGAGTAAACTGTTATGCCTGTCTTCCTCCAGTCTTTTCTGAACACACATACTTACACATGGTTAAAATACACCGAAAGACACAAAAATAAGGCAATCATTTGGAAATGCTTTCTGATTCCAACTACATTTTTTTAAAAAGTACAGAGACTCTTTTGAGGAGAAAGAACTTAAATCTTTCTTACCTGATGCCCCTATATTTGCATTATCTTCAGGAACCTGATTTTTATCCTTATTTAAATCTTCAACTAAAAGTTTGTCAAAATGCTCAATACAAAGTCGGCTGTCAATCTGATATAACAAAGCAGGGCAAAGGTATGTAAATAGATCAGATGAGATTGGAGAGTTGGCACGATGACCATGGTATTTTAACAACTGAGTGACGTTCAAACACTGCAAGAAAATTGACAAAACAAATTAACAGTACTTTAAGAAGATTAGGCAGAAAAAGTACTATATAGTAAAATATATTCTAAATATAATTTTAAAATAATCTTCAATATAAATATCTACTACAAAGAATGATTTTTAATAGGAATTTATGATAGGAGAGAATTCAACCCGATTACCCAAAACTTTTTATGGATTTTAACCATTTTCCACTGCAACATATAAAAGATAATGACTTTCTGCCATTAATAAGAATGATTTAGAACTACAGTCCCAAGATCCTGAAGGAGTGAAGAAAAAAAATAACTTCCCTAGGCAAACTGCAATCATCAGTTGCTCGAGATTCTTGTTTGGTGAAACTGTTAAGTAGACTTAAGAGTACTTTAATAACTTTATATTAAAATATAAAAGGATACAGACATTTTTACTACCTAAGGTACCCCAGAAGAATATCGTATAGTGAAATCCTATCCCAGTGCTAAAGCTGGAAGATTAAAAAACGCAGCTTTATCCAGTAGAACAAAGTATAACAAAACTAAGAAGAAAACAAATAACGAAAAAAATGTGGACCCATCACTACACAAATATCTAAATCTAAGGGAACGGAGTATCTCTTTTCCACACATATGCACTCTGGTTGCATGCTTGCTTATTGTATCTACAATGCAAAAACAGAAAATCAAAACATACAAACAAAAATGATTTTTCTCAGGTCAAGTCTTTACATGAGGTACTACTACCCTATCTAATGCACAGACCATTTCCAGAAATCTTGAAAAAAATCTCCATTATGCATCAGGCCTATGAGGATACAAAATAATAAGACTGATGATCCAGACCTCACAAGAAGGATCCAAAGAATAAACACGGTTTAGTTATGATAATGTCTAGTTATTATCAACAAGAGACTCTAGGATATTACCCATAGTAACAAATTAACAATTTCCTTAAAAATACACTAATATTTTAAATTTTGCTGAAAACCAAATATCTAGTGATTTGTCTAGTAAAAAAACAAAGATATTTACTTAGAGGTAAAACACATTTCAGTAATAAGAGACGAAAACAAAGGTTGAGGTCATTTTCCACAATAGATGCTGCTTTTTATACATCTGAACAATAATACATTCAACAGCTTTTCCTAAACTTTAATGAGAGCTAAATATAAGAATAAGGGTATTGATATATTTTTAATGAAACAAAAATGTTTTTAAGGTAAATAGCTGTTTAAAAATCACGAAGTAACAAATCGAATGTGAAAGTATTCAAAGGAGAACAAAAATTTAGAAGAAAAAGAGAACCATCCCATTGCTCTTGGCATTTCTCATTATTGTATCTTTTTGCATTCACTGTTCATCTGTCAGAAGCATGAGAAAAGACTAATATGAGCATGTAGGTCCTGTGATAAAGTGACAGAGAAAACAAACCTACCACATGAACAAAATACCTGACTTTGGAGCTAGATCAGTGACTGGGAGTCATCTGTAGTTAATTCAATAAGTTAATTATTATGAAGATGAAACTGTCTAAACAAAAAAAGGACTTCAATTTTCAAGCATCTAGAAACCGGTTAACAGAAACAACACATAACCTAACTTGGAGAGTCAAAACAAGTCTTAAGCAAAAGTAAAATAAGGAATAAAAGAAATACATTTTCCGACAACCTTTAAACATTTAGAATTGAAGGAACCCAAATTGAAGGAACCCAAAGGAAAACAAACAATTCAAGTAAAAATGCAGATAAAAATCTTTAATCTGATTTTTATCCCTTAATGTATTTTGTAACTGGAAACAAGTTTGAATGCGGTTGTCTACTCCTCTGTTACTTTTCTTTTTACCTAAGAGGACTTCAGAATCATCTGAGAATTACAGAGCAACTACCTTATTCTGCTTACCTCATGTTGACGATCATCTTCATTATGATCTTTGTGACTAGCAGCTGAATAAATTGCACTTTTTTTAACATGTGGTGCTTCTCGCTTTCTAGTATGTCGAAGTTCACCTTCAACATCAGGATCAAGATCTTGGTGTCCATGACCAGGATCATGACCATTATGTTCTGGAAGACGTACATGAGAATGGCCTGGGTTATGTACACGATCAGGTTTGTGGACCCGATTATGTTCATACTGTTCACCCTGATCATGGTTAGAGGGAAAACCTGGTGCGATAACCCCAGAATTTTCATTGCTTTTCTTCTCTTTTCTCTTCCTCTTTCCTTTTGGTAGCTTACTTTCAGATTGCTCCTGTGTTTTATTGGTCTCTGTTGAAGGTTCATGGCTAGGCTCCCCATGCTCACCGTGAGTAATGGAATCATTAGGAAAATGGCGAGTAGTGTTATGATCAAGGTGATGACGCAAACAGTGGTGATGACATAAGCGATGACTGTGGTCATGCATATGTTTATCATCAGATTTGACGGACACTTCAATTGTCTCTTTCTCTGGATCACACTTACGGTTTCTTTTTGCTGATACACTGGTCACAGTTTGATTTTCCGAATTTAAGTGATTATGGGAATGCTGGTGGTTATGTGAGTGAAAATGCTTTCCCTCTTGAACTGCCAAAATATCTAAGTGAGAAACATGATCGTGGCCAAGATCCTCATGATTAATCTCAACTACTTTTATCTCTCCAAGGCCCAAGTTTGTTAAAAGTTTCTCCAGACCAAAAAAGGATAATCTTCCATTTTCACCATAACGGTCAAAAAGTTTTTCAATATAATATTTTTTTTCATTTTCAGCATCCAGCACTGAAAATTCGCTTGACTCCGATTCTGTCATTCCACGATGGTGTCTGTGATGCTCTTCAGAACCATGGTCATGTTCTTCATGGCAATGGTTGCAATGATGGAAAATAAATGTCAGCAAACAAATGAGGCAAAATTTTGTGTGCATATGTACCTTCATTTCTATTTTTCCTAAAGGGAAAGAAAAATAAGCATTAGTTTATACTTATGACATTAAAAATAAACAAAACTTTTCAGCAATTGCCAATTTACTAGGCAAATGTTTTACCTCATTTCTTTCATGATTATGAATTGTCCTTTCCTTCTGCAATCCCCTATAAAAATAGCCCCTTTTAATTTATCAGAATATTGTATAGCCCTTCAAATTAATACAAGTTTGCTTAAAACTCACCTGCAAGATTACTGACTCTCTTTTAAGCACAATACTTTATGGTCTATGAACATTTATACAGGAAATGCTGGCTTTCTTCCTATCGGGCCCTTTACAAAAAAGTTTATTGGTTTCTGTTCTTGACACCCTGACCAGTACAATAATGTAGTAAGATGAAATATAACAAAAAATGTGTAAGAATCAGAAATGAAACTGTCATTATTCACAAATGGCAGGACTGGATATGCAGAAAGTCCAAAAGAAACTGTAAGAATTAATAAGTTAATTTAGTACAATTGCTAGACCTAAGGACAATTAACTCTATTTCTCTACACCAGCAATAATTAGAATATGAAATTAGAAGCTTATAATTTATAGCAGCAAATAGCTAGAAATAAAGCTAACAAAAAATGTGTAAGACTTTTTCATAAAAAAAGGATAACATATTACTGAGAGAAGTGAAGGACCTAAATAAATGGATGGTTTTATCATGTTCAAAATTGGATGTTTTAGAGATCCAATGTAATGCCCAACTAAACTTCCAAGAGTTATTTTATGAAAACTGATGAGGTGTTTTTTAAACTTTTATTTATTTATTAATTTATTTTTGGTTGCCCTAGATCTTCATAGCTGAGCAAGGGCTTTTTCTAGCTGTGGAAAGCGGCAGCTACTCTCCAGCTGGGGTGCGCATGCTTCTCCTTGCAGTGACTCCTTGTGCAGAACACAGGCTGGAGGGCGCATGAGCTGCAGCATTGCAGCCCTTGGGCTCCAGAGTGCAGGCTCAACAGTGGTGCAGCATGGGCTTGGCTGCTCTGTGGCATGTGGGCTCTTCCCGGACCGGACCAGGATCGAACCCATGCTCCCTGCACTGGCAGGCAGATTCTTTACTACTGAGTCACCAGGGAAGCCCCTTGATCAGGTGTTTTTAATGTTTATATGGAAACAGAAAGGGCCAACGAACAAGACACTCTGTCTACCAGTTACTAAAGATAGTGTGGGTATTTGGTGGAACAAAGAATGTAGTATGAAAAGAGAAAAATTTTCTTTTCCTTGGAGCTTAGTCAACTAAATATCCATATAGAAAAAGAAGAAAACTTGACTCCTACCTCACACCATATGTAAACAACAATTATAGATGGATTGTAAATGTAAATCTAAAACTAAATTTTAGAGTAATAAAGGGTCCAAAACTATACTGCCCAATACAGTATGTTAAAAAAATTACTAAGAAGCACCTTGGCCTCAGGCTTAGTTTGCTCTTAAGCAGACAAAACAAGCATTTTAAAATTAGTTTTATATGGTGATATTATTAGTTAACACAATGTAGCTTTTTACAAATATTCATAAATGCTTTAAATTGGGTTATCATGTAATCATATTACATACCTTTCAACAAGAACCCATAAGCAGCAAGTTAATTTCACATAGTCCAAAACTTTAGCAGACTGTCATTGAATTAAGTGCTATTCATTATTTTTGGAAGTGGCCACAAGCAGCTACTTAAATTTCAGTTCAGTTCAGTTCAGTCGCTCAGTTGTGTCCGACTCTTTGTGACCCCATGAACCGCAGCACGCCAGGCCTCCCTGTCCATCACCAACTCCTGGAGTCCACCCAAACCCATGTCCATTGAGTGGGTGATGCCATCCAACCATCTCATCCTCTGTCGTCCCCATCTCCTCCTGCCCCCAATCTTTCCCAGCATCAGGGTCTTTGCAAATGAGTCAGCTCTCCGCATCAGATGGCCAAAGTATTGGAGTTACAGCTTCAACATCAGTCCCTCCAATAAACACCCAAGACTGATCTCTTTTAGGATAGACTGGTTGGATCTCCTTGCAGTCCAAGGGACTCTCTCTCCTTCTGTCGGTTTTGAGACTGCACCCAGGAAGTGCATTTCAGACTCTTTTGTTGACTATCATGGCTACTCCATTTCTTCTAAGGGATTCTTGCCCACAGTGGTAGATATAATGGTCATCTGAGTTAAATCCACCCAAGCCAGTCCATTTTAGTTCGCTGATCCCTAAAATGTCGATGTTCACTCTTGCCATCTCCTGTTTGAGCACTTCCAATTTGCCTTGATTCATGGATCTAACATTCTACGTTCCTATGCAATATTGCTCTTTACAGCATCAGACCTTGCTTCCATCACTAGTCGCAACCACAACTGGGTGTTGTTTTTGCCTTGGCTCGGTCTCTTCATTCTTTCTGGAGTTATATCTCCACTGATCTTCAGTAGCATATTGGACACCTACCGACCTGGGGAGTTCATCTTATACTTACAGAACTTAAAAAAAATTGTATTTATTTTTAATCAAGAATAATTGCTTTACAATATTGTGTTGGTTTCGGCCATACAGCAACATGCATAAGCCATAAGTATACATATGTCCTCTCCTTCTTGAACCTCCCTCCAACTCCCCATTGCTCTAGGTTGTCACAGAGCCCTGGACTGAGTTCCCTGCAGCATACAGCAAATTTCCAAACGGTAGGGTATAGGTTTCCCTGCTACTCTCTCCATTTACCCCACCCTCTTCTTCCCAGCATGGTGTCCTCAAGTCTGTTCTCTATGTCTGCGTCTTCACTACCACCCTGCAAATAGGTTCATCTGTATCATTTTTCTAGATTCCATATATACGTACTAATATGTGGTATTTGTTTTTCTCTGAATTCACTCTGCATAAATAGGCTCTAGGTTTATCCACTTCATTAGAACTAACTCAAATGCACTACTTTCTATCACTGAGTAATATTCCATTGTGTATATGAACCTCAGCTTCTTTATCCATTCAGCTGCGAATGGACCTCGAGATTGCTTCCATGTCCTAGCTATTGTGAACAGTGCTGCAGTGAACACTGGGGTACATCTATCTTTTTCAATTACAGTTTTCTCAGGGTATACACCTAATATTGGAACTGTTGGGTCACATGATAGTTTTATTTCTAGTTTAAGGAGTTACCATACTGTCTTCCATAGTAGCTGTTATCAATTCACATTCTCACCAACAGTGCAAGAGGGTTCCCTTTTCTCCACACCCTCTCCAGCATTTGTTGTTTGTAGATTTTTTGATGATGGCAATTCTGACCCAGGCGAGGTGATCTCTCAGTGTAGTTTTGATTCGCATTTCTTTAATAATGAGTGATGTTGAGCATCTTTTCATGTGTATATTAGCCATCTTTATGTCTTCTTTGGAGAAATGTTTGTTTAGGTCTTCTGTCCACTTTTGGATTGAGTTGCTTTTCTGGTTTGAGTTGCATGAGCTTCCTATGTATTTTAGAAACCAATCATTTGTCAATTTTTTTTTTCTTTTTCCCATTCTGAGGGTTGTTTTTTCACCTTGTTTATAAAAGTTTCTTTTTCTGTGCAAAAGCTTTTAAGTTTAATTAGGTCCCATTTGTTTAGGTTTATTTTTTTATTTTCATTACTCTAGAAGCTGACTCTAGGATTAGTCACAGAGGATCTTGCTGTGATTTATGTCATAGAGTGTTCTGCCTATGTTTTCCTCTAAGAGCTTTGTAGTTTCTAGTCTTACATTTAGTTCTTCAATCCATTTTGAGTTTATCTTTGTATATGGTGTTAGGAAGTGTTCTAATTTCATTCTTTTACATATAGCTGTCCAGTTTTCCCAGCACCACTTATTGAAGAGACCATCTTTTCTCCATTGCATATTCTTGCCTCCTTTGTCAAAGACAAATCCATACACCTATGGGTCCCCTATCTCTAGGCTATCTTGTTCCGTTGGTCTATAGTTCTGTTTTTATGTCAGTACCATACTGTCTTGATGACTATAGCTTCATAGTATAGTCTGAAGTCAGGACGGTTGATTCTTCCAGCTTCATTCTTCTTTCTCAAGACTGCCTTGGCCATTCGGGGTCTTCTGTGTTTCCATACAAATTGTGAAATTTTTTGTTCTAGTTCTGTAAAAAAATGCCATTGGTAAATTGATAGGGATTGTACTGAATCTGCAGATTGCATTTAGCAGTAGAGTCATTTTCACAATATTGATTCTTTCAACCCAGGAACATGGAACATCTCTTCATCTGTTTATATCATCTTTGATTTCTTGTATCAGTATCATAGTTTTCTGTATACAGCTTTTTTGTCTCCTTAGGTAGGTTTATTCCTAGATATTTTATTCTGTTTATGGCAATGGTAAATGAGACTGATTTCTTAATCTCTGATTTTTCATTGTTCGTGTATAGGAATGCAAGTGATTTCTGTGTATTGATTTTGTATCCTGTGATTTTACTAAATTCACTGAATTAGCTCTAGTTAATTTTTAGATATAGTATCTTTAGAGTTTTCTTTGTACAGTATCATGTCATCTGCAGTGAGAATTTTACTTCTTTTCCAATCTGGATTCTTTTTCTTTTCCTTTTCTGCCATAGATAGGACTTCCAAAAATATGCTGAATAATACCGGCAAGAGTGGGCACTCTTGTCTTGTTCCTGATCTTAGAAGGAATGCTTTCAGTTTTCACCATTGAGAATGTTTGCTGTGGGTTTTATCATATATGCCTTTACTATGTTGAAGTAGGTTCCTTCTATGCCCATTTTTTGAAGAGTTTTTTTTTTTTTTAAATCATAAATGGGTGCTGAATTTTGTCAAAGGCTTTTGACATCTATTAAGATTATCATATGGTTTTTATATTTCAATTTGTTAATATGGTGTAGGACATTGATTGATTTGCATATATTGAAGCATTGTTGCATGCCTGGTATGAAACCAATTTGATCATGGTATATGATCTTTTTAAAGTGTTGCTGAATTCTGTTTGCTAGAATTTTGTTGAGGA